ACTAGCCGAGTTTTTACATAATTTCGCTTGTACGACTTGCGCGGCGCATGTTTGTAAAGCGATATCAATATCATATTCCTCCATGCTGAACCAACATCGATACATCCGGGAACTTTTGATTATGCAATGCTCAAATACCTCGAGTCAACATTAACATTTTTGGCCAAAACAATAGTGACAAACACACTTATAAGCTGATTATTGAGAACTTACTTGCTTTACTTTGTTTGGCCTGTGGCTTGGATACTATAATATCAGGATGTCTAATGCAGCGAGCTGCCATATTTTAATCAAGTAATCCCCCGCGTAAGTAGAGACGGCGTAAACCAATCAATGCAGAACAGGTGAATCCAGACAGGTGGTAATTAGGGATGCCACGTAAGCAGGGGAAAGTAATAAAGGGGAGAACACAGAAGAACACAAGGAACTAGTCACACGTTCGGAACCAGGACAAAGACGCTGGAGGGATGGCCACAAGGAAACCAAGACGTGAGGAGGGTACGGGGGGGGGGGGTAGCAGGGGAGGGGGGCACAAAGGAATCAGCCACCTAAACGGCTGTCCACCCACCCACCCACCCACCCTTTGTATTACTTAGAGCAGGACACTGCTAAAGGAAGACTCCTTCGGTGCAGAAACGTCCCACTTCCACCCGATATCAATCCCCATACCTAACATGTGAGACGTCTCTACACAATAGCGGAGGGATACTTGATTGAGATAGAGCCACATTTAACATATAGTGCACATTTGGCTCAGGCAACAGAGAGATGGGTCAAGGCATATCCTGGTTGCCTGAGATAAAATCTCTCGAAAATAGATTTCATAACAAACAATATGTCCTGTTGTGCGATATTTTTTTGAAAAATCGACATTTTATCAAGGACATACACATGTATGGAAGTGCAGTGTTCAAAAAGAGGGGTGGGGTTATGACCTCATGAGACTTATATTTCATAATAAAATAAGTAACATTTCTTTATTATGGGAAAAAAGGACAACACAACACAACATGCACATAGATATCATCCAAAATATTAACTTCACATGGCCAAAGCTGTAAACGTGTCAATATCCTGCATCACTATATCAGCTATCAAACCAACTGATCTTACCAGCAGTATGTATACGTTTCTCATCCTGCTCCAACATGCCAACATTCAAATGCATATCAGTAACATCATCATTGTCACATTTCAGTTAACACTGAGGCAGGCAACCATCCTTTTCTTTTGTCTGTTATCTGGTAGCTGGGCACACCCCTCCCATCCACGTTCTAATCTAACTCTGCAAGCTCTCAATCCTACTGTCCTCCTGACAGTTATTGTTGGCCTACTCTCTCCAGTACTACTTGGCCACACAACGTGCAATCTAATTGCAGTTTCCATCATGAGCTCTCCACAATTCGTGACTGCATAGAGACATGAAACTTGAGAGATGAAACTTTCTGCAGATCTCATCCAGAAGAGTGGGACAGAAAGTGTCTGACATCATGTTTGGAGAGAGCAACACAAATGGCCAAGACCTCTTGAGAAGCCCATCAAATGACTCTCGTAGCGAGGGATAAGGACTTGGCTGCTCATGCACTAAGTATGCCGCAAGGGATCATGGGAACAATAATAACCTTTAGACTATAACAGGTAAAAAAAATCCACTGAATTCTTTGCGGGTGAAAAAAAGTCAAGCCATGAAAAAAAAATCTGCAAGGACATCATTTAAGAAGAGAAAATAAAGGGATCTGAATCCTATGTAGTACAACGTGCACATCCAGCAATTCTTTGGGGGAAATGACAGCAAAATACAAGTAGTACATCAGCATTTTGAATATATATATATAGTGAGCATTTCACTCAGCAACTACAATAATTCACCCATCACTGGCATCAGTGACTTCAGTTTACCAATTACAAATTAGACTATTGTAATTCACAATTTTTTCACGGTACTTATGTTCATAATAATTATATGTTGGCGGTTTTCGTGGGCACTTCTGTACTGCAAACTTATTATTACCATGAACAAATAATTTGCAGACTCTCTTTTTTTCTACACCTACCACCAACACAAATATATTGTTTCACAAACATGTCCATTTTTCTTGGACTGCAAACTTTTGCTACTGCGAACATAAATTACAGTATGTTTAATTCAAAATATAATATAGACAACTGTTCATTTTGAGAAACTACTCATAGTACATATAACTCTACATAACTCTACACTGTTCATGATCAGTGTACATGCTGGTAGCATTGAACTAACTCTTCATTATCCTGATGAAGGCGACAGTGGTTGCTGAAAATTTAATCTCTGTATAGTTGTGTGGGGGAATAAATTTCAACGTTTTACATATTACACTCTAGTACTGTAACCTTGACCTCTATATAATGTACTTTCAAAAGACCAGAATACACCCCTGTAGATTTCAAGACAGCTAGGTAGAGGTAAGATTTGGAGATACGTGATAATCCATTAATACTTAGTCCAATCTGTGACATGTGAGAAGTGCCACATGTCTACACCTACACCTACCTGACCTACATTGTATTGGCCTACCTGTGACATAGCTAGAGTATCCGTAAATCAGTCGGTCCATATTGTAGTTAAAAAATTTGATATCCATTGTCTTATAAGGCTTGTCTCTCTCTCTCTCTCTCTCTGTGCAGTTAGAATGTTTACCTGCTAGTAGTGAGTGGTGATTCAACACACAAGGTCAATATACCCTGTGTAGTCACGCACACCTTTGGACGTTATCCTTCACCACATTAGATATGCAAATATATAATTGAGCTTGGAGCACCCGCCCATTTTGGACAGACAACAACCACCGTGACCACACATAGCCAAGCATTCATGGATGTGTCACTGACCTATTGAAATGTGAATCATGGACATGTTTGTGGCACAAGGCCATATGGTGATCGGCCATTCACCTTTGGAAATGTGAATCATTAACATGTTTGTGGCAGAAGGCAATATGGTGGATGACCATTGTACTTGTCCTTAAAGGACCCCTGAAGTAATCCGAGAAGCCTTAAACACTAAAGGCAGGGCTATTGAACTTGAAATAGGATCTTGCTTCTTTAATTTCTGTAGCTAAAACGTTATTTGTGTTGCTCTAGCCATACACAGCAGTATTGTTCTGGGAGGGG